TTAAGTATGATACATGCATCTATCTACAGTTTGGTGAGCGCCAAACACTAAGTAATGTATTAATTTCAAAGCTATAGTCTTTGTTTACTTTAGTTCACAATAGCATATCTTATATTTTGTATTCATATGATTAAGATTTACGAAACTGTTTATGATATATATATATATACATGTATATTTGCGGAAGAACGCTGCTTGAAAGCGCGTTTACTATGGTTTCTTTATAACTTATTTTAAATTATACTTGTCTAACAACTTTCAATTCTATGTGTCGCTCCTGCTTATATTCAGGTGATCAGGCTTAAGACTAAGCTTGTACTTAACAGCAGGTAATGAAAACGTTTGCTAATAATTTACATACTGATTTTCTTGAGCTTGATGCCGTGTACAGTTGCTATCAAAAGTGGGAGATTTGATTGTACAGTGCGAAAGTTTTCTGATATTAATTTCTATCTTCAGTATGCGTATGTTTTGTATTTATTACGTAAGACTTATAGATATACCTTTCGTTCAACATACGCATTTTTTTAATTTGTTAAATCATGGATTAAAGTGGGAAAATTAATGGAAAAAAGTGCATATTTTTTTACAATACGAACTGTAATGAATACAATTATAAATTTTTTTCAAAAGTAGATTTTGTTTGAAGTTTGTTAAATCAATATTTCTTAAAACGTATTTCGCGATAACTCTGTGACATTTATACGAAATGTTTTGAAATTGCATTTGCCGATTCGTTAATTAATGTTATATATTTCGTAACGAATTTTCGTTTATACTCAATGATTAGAAAAAGCTTGCGAGAAAATACAATAAAACGTACTTCTGAGATGCAATCGATCAATATACACTATTTGCTATACATGCATTACTTATTACATTTATTATATTATATTATATTATATTTATACTTTTTATATTTATTATATTATTTTTATATTTATTACAGTTTTATTACAAAATGTAATTTATTTATTTTCTATGATTAAACATAATTTTATAGAACATTATGTGATAACAAAATGACAATTTTTTAATAACAAGTTTCATTAAAAATAAAAAAAAGTTATTTTATCTTTGTTGCAACTGTCATTGATCCTAAAGAAATATCTGAAAATTGACGTATACGCTGAGTGGTCTTTGAATTGTATAAAGTTTATGTGTAACGACTTATTTTAGACAATTATAGTAACAATATTTTACCTATTTAAGGGGATCTTATAGTCGTCTGTAATACCGAAACTTGTTTTAACCTCAACTTGCGAAAACATTCGCTTTATATAAAAATTCTACAATGTATTGTTACAAAAAGACTGTGGCGTGGCCAGCGGATTACATCTAAAAATACGATACCGTTGTCAGAATTAGGTTTATAGACTCTAAACAAAAAAGTTATATGTGAAAAATAATTATTAGGGGTATTCAAATAAGTTAAAGTTTAACGTTTTGACAGGTTATGTCGGGTTAAAGTCGAGTAAAAAGTTAATTAATTAACTTTGGGCGCGCTACTCTTTAAGGTTATGCAAAATACATAAGTGACTCATTAACCTATCACATTAATCTTTGGGTTAAAAGTTTAAAAATTAACTTTTTACCCGACTTTAACCCGACATAACCTGTCAAACCGTTAAACTCTAACTTATTTGAATACCCCTATTGCAAACGTACACTTACGCAAGTTGAGGTTAAACAAAGTGTCGGTGTGTTACAGACGACTATAGGATCCCCTTAATTAACGTTTTTTGTTGAATGTCGCGATTCAAAAAGCGTACAAAAATTATGTACATGTATTGCAATACTTCGAGTAACAATATTAGTTAGGGGTATATAAACTTGGAACTCCAGAGTGACTTGTTCCCTTTTTCAATTCTGCAAAAATCGTAAAGTAGTTGTATTTTGAATGAAGAAACCATCATTTTCCTCTTCAAAACTTTCTAAATGTAACAATTGTCGGAGTTAAAATATTGTATTCGATCTCCTTAACCCACATTCCATCAATAAATACTCAGTACATTAATACAATCATCGAAAAGTAAAGAAGTAAATATTTGATTTGAATATTTTGCGTGACAGATAGAAGATTGCAAATTCGACGTCGTGTGTTGTTGTGTCCTTGGGGTAGAACACTGTGCCGCGTGAGCGTAGTAGTAAAATACACTGGGTACAATATAATAAAAGTGTTTATTCTCTCAAGTATGACCGCGTGCTAACTAGTACAAAGGCTGAACCAGGAATGGCTTCCCGACATGAAGGTGGGCGCCCGCGCAGTCACGTGGTCTCCTTTCGTAAGACCTATTCGCATGAGCCAATCCGAAGCTCCTCGCAGATGCATGTCCGAGGCTGGCATGCAGCGCAGTGGCGCGTTTATATGAAACGCCACACAACACTCCCCTCACTTAGAAATTCGAGGCTTACTAGTCTCATAATCTTGTAAGTACTTTAGAGAGCGAATTTGTCGTTGCGGACGTGACGCTCCCTTTTTCGAGGGTGTTGTCTCTTTCGCTTCTGGGGTTCCAGAAAGGCTGGTGGGTGAAGACAGTTTAGGAGTAGAAGCACACCAGGATCCTTGAGGCGTAGAGAAAATTGAGGAATCGTTTTTAGGAGCTGTGAGAGTAGAGTAGGAAGGACCTGGCGATGTAGGAGTAGTGTTGCCGCTTGCATTGACTAACGTTTGACTAGAACTATTAGTAGAAGTAGACGCTTGGGACGGACTCGCATTTACAATTATCCCTTCGCTCGCATTTCTGCTTATATTATTATTTGTACTACTAGTATTATTGTTCGCGTTATCACAATTATTCGGCGGATTAGTATCGTAAAAATCATAGAAATCTTCATCACTACTCTTTGGCGTGTCGTCGCCTATCGGACGCATTTGGTTGATGTGCCTTTTCCAGACACGACCGTCGTCTAAACGTATTTTAAAATGTAAGTCGCTTAACTGTTCAATTATCGTACCGAACAACCATTTAATTTTATCAATGTAATTGCAACAACTGACTCTCTTTCCCACCGTGAATTTAAAAAGACGTTTATACTGAATCGTGCGTTTTGTACTTGACGGACGTAGCAAATCAAATTTAGTACGTATTTTCCTTGAAAATAATAACTCTGCTGGGGCTATTCCCGTTGCAGTGTGAGAAGTATTCCGGTACTGAAAGAGTAATTTTTGTAAATTGATATACGCATTCGCATGTGTAGATTGCATCTCTTTCAAAGAATTTTTAAGAATCTGGACATAGCGCTCGGCTTGTCCATTTGTTGCAGGATGATGCGGTGCGGTGTATTTTGAAATGATACCGTGTGAATCTAAAAAGTTTCTAAATTCTTTCGACGTAAACGCAGTGCCGTTATCGGATACAATGTATTTCGGTAATCCGTACGTGTAAAATATTTGTCTGCATACATTAATGGTAGTTTTCGTTGTAATGTCCTTGACAATATGAATTTCCGGCCATTTTGTGTACGAATCAACCAGAATAAAAAAATTGTGTCCTAAAAATGGACCTGCAAAATCGACGTGTACCCTTTCGAAGGGTAATTGGGCTGGTTCCCACACGTGATTTGAAACTTTAGGTGGATTGTTCCTGTGCGAATTACATTCATGACAATTCTGCGTTAATTTCTTTATGTCATTGTCAATCTTGTTCCACCAGACGTACCCTCTCGCGAGATGCTTCATTTTGACTGTGCCAAAATGACCTAGATGCAACTCGTGAAGTATTTTTTTCTGTAACCCGATCGGAATAACAACTCTGTGCCCTCGAAAAATAACACCGTGTAATAAGGAAAATTCCTCGTAAGGAACCGTGTAATATTTATTGCTTTTAGAATCCGCGTTAGAATTAGAGCCTGTTATTAAGAATTTTAGCAAGTTGGATAATTCTTTATCCTCTCTTGTAGCTGCAGCAACTTGTGCCGCTGTAATAGGCAGCGTATCGAAAGTAGCTTCTTGGAACTCGTCCACAGCTTCACACTCTATTTCGTCTGTATTTCGCGGTATCGGAAGTCTCGATAAGCAGTCCGCATTTGAGTGTAATTTCGATTTCCTATATTTAATCTTATAACAAAATCCTTGTAATATTAACGCATAGTGCTGCATACGCATAGCAGTGTAAATTGGCAAACCCTTTGTCGGTGAAAAGATCTGCGTGAGCGGACGATGGTCCGTAATAAGAGTAAATTCTGTACTTTGTAGGTACTGATGAAACTTCCTAACACCGAAGATTATTGCCAACGCTTCTTTATCGATTTGAGAATATGAACGTTGTGTTTTCGAAAGCGTTTGAGACGCGTATTGAATGGCTCTTTCCGAACCGTCTGGATAAATATGAGAGAGCACTGCTCCTATTCCGTAAGGACTCGCGTCAGTGGCTAAGGTTATGGGCAGTCTGGGATCAAAATGAGCTAAGCATTTCGGGCTTGTAAATGCTCGTTTTGCTGCCTGGAAACTTTTCTCACAGTCTTCCGACCAATAGAATTTAACGTTCTTTTGTAAAAGATTGTTCAGCGGTTGCAAAATGGCACTTAGATTTGGAACGAACCTATCGTAGTAGCGTATCATGCCCAAGAAGCTTCTAAGTTCGGTTAGATTTGTAGGTTGGGGCATGTTGGAAATTGCATCTATTTTATCCGGAGCTTTATTGATACCGTTTTTGTCTATTACGTAGCCGCAATACTGGATTTGATCCTTAAAAAATTCGCTCTTCTTTACATTAATTCGTATGTTGCATTTCTGTAATCGCGTAAAAACCTGGCGCAGTTTACTTAAATGATCTTGTACGTTTTTGCCTGAGACTCTAATATCGTCTAAAAATACGACGACTCCCGGGATATCTTTAAGGATATTTTCAATGATGCGTTGCCATATGGCTGGAGCGGACGCGACTCCGTACATCAAACGCGTTGGTCTGTAAAGACCCTTATGTGTATTCAAAGTAAGCAGTTCGCGATCCTGCTGTCTAACCTCGAGTTGCAAGTAGGCCTGTAAAAGGTCGATTTTAGAAAAAACTTTTTCTCCCGCCATTTGCGTGAGAAGCTCGTCTGGTGTTGGTAAAGGGTGCGAATCTATATTTAAATTGGGGTTAAGCGTGACACTGTAGTCCCCGCAAACGCGAATCTCTCCATTTTTTTTAATAACGGGAACGATGGGCGTGGCCCATTCGGAAAAGTCCACCTTCTCGAGAATCCCGTTTTGTGTAAGTGTCTCTAGCTCTTCTTCAATCTGGTTGCGTAAACGAAAAGGCACGGGCCGCGGCTTATGGAATACCGGATTTGTATTTCGCTTAACATTTAATCTTGCTTGTATATCTGTAATTTTCGCAATAGACAGACTTGTAATACTATTAAATTCGTTTAACAGCGTTTGTAGTTGCATTGTCATTTACGGTAACTTGCTTAATCGACTGAAGTTGGTCCGTAATATTTTTCAACTCCTCGATCTGATTAAGTTGTGATATCCACTCGCGACCTAATAGTGGTTCTTTTTCTATTTCTACAATATATAAATGTAATTTTCGAATACGATTACCGTTCTTGACTCTAACTTCTATGTAACCGCATAATGGAATAGGCGTGCGTGTGTAGGACATGAGATTCAAATCGGTTGTAAATACGCGTTCGCCTTTGAATAACCTTTTCGCGTCGGTTAACGACATTAAAGTGACGGCCGATCCACTATCGACCTCGAAGCGCACGTCTTTATTATTAACGTTCAACGTGGCAAAGAATTTTTTTCTGAAACGCAATTGTTCGATCGCGAGCACCTCAATATTCTTAGTATTGTTTTCACGAGACGATTTGCACACTTTTTTTAAATGTCCCGCCTTTCCGCACGAAAGACACTTCATACTTCTATCGAGCGTGCATGCTGACGCATAATGGCTGCCGCCGCAACGATAACACGTGATAACCGATTTCCCGCGCGCGCCATTTTTCGCAACACTATTTTTCGCATTCGCGTTCCCGCGCTTTTTAAATTTATCTGTAGATGCCGATGTCTTCCTCGTGCTGATGGCCAAGGTAGTTTCCTCTTCGCCTTGTAATTGTTTTGTCCCCTTCTCCGACAATTCCATTGTCGTGGCAACTTGTATCGCCTTCTCCAGCGTGAGGTCCGTTGTCTCCAGTAGACGATTGAGTGTTCGCTTATTTCTAAGCCCAAACACGAAATAGTTCCTGAGCGTCTTTTCTGTATGCTCACCCAGTTTGCAGTTCGTCGATAGTTTCTTCAATGCTGTAGCGTATTCCAAAATGGACTCGCCCTCTTGCTGTTTCCGGCTCGCGAGTTTGAAATTCTCAGCGATTTCGAGAGGTTTCGGCTCGTAAAATTTTTCCAACGTTTCCGTTAGGTTTTTGTAAGTCATCTCGCTTGGTTTCTGAGGCATGACTTCATTTTTAAGGACGCTGTAAGCACTGGCGCCCAAATGATGCAATAGATATGCCGTTTGGTTTTCAGTCGATACGTTGTATATCTGTATCGCCGCTTCCAGTCTTTCCCACCATTCGGTCCATGGACCGTTTTGAGGATTGAAGGCCTCGATATTCGAAGTATTGCAGGCGGTATTGGCCATTCGGAATTGAGTAATCTCGCCACTGACTGTGTGGCAAGAACCCGAAAATTATGCAATCTGCTTACTTGCAGTTGAAACACGGTCACTTCTTGTTGCGTTGTGACGTAATGGCGGCCACGAACGCGTAACGTGCTTTTTACTTGCACGACACTTAACCGCCCTCCTCGGCGCGGAAATCTTGATCCTCGTCGCCAATTTGTTGTGTCCTTGGGGTAGAACACTGTGCCGCGTGAGCGTAGTAGTAAAATAAACTGGGTACAATATAATAAAAGTGTTTATTCTCTCAAGTATGACCGCGTGCTAACTAGTACAAAGGCTGAACCAGGAATGGCTTCCCGGCATGAAGGTGGGCGCATACGCAAGCGCCCGCGCAGTCACGCGGTCTCCTTTCGTAAGACCTATTCGCATGAGCCAATCCGAAGCTCCTCGCAGATGCATGTCCGAGGCTAGAGTTCCTATAATGAGAGTTTGGACACCCCGTTAACGATTCGTGATTGGTTCTTCGATCCGCCATATGTTTCAGCCAAGAAGAGCGGAAGATATAAAGACATTTTTATAAGGATAAGTACTAAATAAGAGATTCAAGTATACATTACATTTATTTATTAATAAGGTTAGATAAAATTAATGTAGATAAATATGTAATATATATTGAAATTAGTGTTTGAATTATCTAACTTTTCCTTGTAATTTTAATAACAATGTAAAACCTAACCTAACCTTTGTTTATGCAGTTAAACATTTAATACAATTACAGTTGTTATTAATATAACTATAAAATGCCTGGCTGCGCAGCACCCAACTGCTATAATTCATCAGAAAAAAAATTCAAAATGTGTACTTTTCCACTAAAAGACCCAAAAAGGTGTGCAGTTTGGGTTGAAAATATGAAACGGAAAAATTGGACACCAAACAAACATTCGATGCTATGTCAAGTAACAATTAAAATGGAATTCTTTATTTTTAGTCTATTTACATTATATAATAATAATTATATTCAATTTTTCATTAAAGGTTCACTTTGCACCAGAAACTTGGGAACAAAATCGAGCTGATGGATTGTTAAAGCTTAAAAATAATGCCGTTCCGACATTATTTGCTACTTCTGATGGTAATATGCTTTTTCACGTATCAGTGGTTAAATAGAGATTAAAATAATCAACTTAAAATTATTTTGTTACCTAATTTGATTCTATCACATAAATTGAATTTGAAGCTATAAGCTATAATTTTAGGAAAAAATTGCATTTTAATCATTTTCAAAGTATACAAGTGGATAAATTTAAATCGACCGTGACTGGCAATATATAACGTCTTTTCGAGATG